AGCTCTGTGTGACTTCTTCCTCTTCCCAAAGATGAAATTTCAGCTAAAGGGAATTAGATTTGAGACGATAGAAGAGATTCAGGCAGAATTGCAGATGGTGCTTGACAGGCTGACAAAGAAAGATTTCCCGGGATGCTTCCAGGCTTGGCAGCGGCGCTGGGATCGTTGTGTTCACTCCCAGGGGAACTACTTCGAGGGTGATGGATGAATTTAATACCTGAGATAAGTGTACGGGTTTTTATAGGCGAAGTCTTGAAACTTTCCGATCGCACCTCGTATGTAACTAAAACTGTGGTAGCAGAACCCGAAGGTTCAAGACCAGAACTATGAAAGTCCGTCCCTGGACACGATTCGCAACTCTTTCCACCCACGTCCCACCTGTACTGCCCATTTCACCAAGACCTGTTTCAAAGATGTCCTTACATCTCCTTCTCAGTCTTCCAAGGCTACGTTTCTTCCAGTGTGCACTGTATACCCGATCAAAGCGACATGCCCAAGTCAACATAACCTCCAAGACTTCGGCAAGTTCATCGTAAAACTCACCGAGTACAAGTATAGGTTCGTCTCGTACCCAGACACCTTCTCCCGATCCGTGACAAATGGCTGGTCATCGGTGCCATCTCCTGAAAAAACAAAAACAAACATGAAACTATCATTACTTCCACACACATATGCGATATTACCATAGCTATTTTCAGATTTCCGGTACCTGTTTACGAGCCTTTAGGAGCAGTTTTGGTAATTACAGGCAAATTAGAGGCTGCGCGGTTTAAGATACGCACCGCCCTGGAGTGTTATTATGCGTTTTTTGAACGAAGTGCACAGCGAGAACGCGTTATGGGTTGGTCGTGTCTGTCAGGTCGATTGAACTCGAGAACCACTGGACGGATTTCGATAAAACTCGATGTGGAGGTTGTGCCATTCTGCACGGCCTAGATGTAGTACTTTTGAATACCCTACGAACGGTGATAACAAAATGACGGACGAGGAAAGTCGTGAGGTGATCACTGAGGTGTTGCGATCTGGCGGCCATAGTGAGAAAGATCGAACATGGCTGATTTAATACTTCTAAATGCAGTTTGCAAAGAACGCGTGAGGATATAGGATTTGAGACTTTCGCGGCCAGTACAATCAATAAAATCTTCTCAGTCAATCAGCCGCGTTAACTGGTTACCGTAGTAAACAGACGTTTCGGGAAAACCCTGATGATGGGGACAGAGTTGGTTCCCGAAACGTCGGTTTACTACGGTAACAAGTTAACGCGGTTGATTGCCTGAGAAGATTTTATTGAGCGCGTGAGGATATTATGTGCATTCCGGTGCGGAATGCACTTCTCCGAGCTTGTCGTATTAACAGGGAAACGTTTATGACCGTGCGTGTGTCCATAAGTGCATAAATCAGTAACATCATTGCCATGGTAACACTGTTAATGAAGGGTCGGCCATATGGGATAATGTTTATGACTGTGTGTGTTTCGCTTAAATAATTATAACCATTGCCATGGGAAGTCAGTTAAGAGATGCTGGACCATTTTCCATTACTGTCTTTAAAAAAACCCGCTCGTACGTTTGACTAAAAATTGTCATAAGTTATTATTGCCACAAGTGGAAGGTAACCGGTTTCTTTAGAGATACAAATGAAAACCTATACATTCGATCGGTTCTCTGTTTAATGTTAATTGTAAATCAAAAGGGCAGTTGCCCACTGGTATCTGTTAGTGCACGTACAAATTCACAAATGCAAGGACAATAAAAATGTAGATACAGTACTGCATGAAATGCAAACAGGTTATACTTCTTGTATTTCGTTAAATATTCACCCCTTGAAAAAGATCTTTCATACAATATTTTAGATCTTAATAAGAAATAACGATAAATGATTTCTCAGAAATGTACAATTTGATCTTCATGCAAACTTGTGTTGTGCTGGACCGATACGAATACACATTAAGTAAGATTTGAGGTTTTCACAGCGGTGAGTATGAAGATTTCTGTCTTCTGGGTTGTTGCGCTGTGTAGTCTGGTCGATGTTTACCAACGTTTCAGAGGTCATACTGC